CCGAAACGTTGTGTTCTCTTTCTTCTTTTTTTCAGCATGGAATAAACCTATTACTTGTTCCTTTGCCATATTGTTATAATACTGGGATGTCAACTTCATAGGCTTCTTAATTTAATATTTCCAATTAGAAAATGATATTAGAAGGTGCAGTCACAGCACCTGAAAATTTGAAACTGAAACATTTATTGTAAAATGCTAATAAACACGTTGGTTAAGAATACAGAATAAACAACTATGAATAAAAAATATTCATAGTTGAATATTATTATATGTTATTCAATATTATTATTGCAAGTGCAATTCTCATAACTACAAAGTAAAAACATGCAGGAGAACTGAAGTACAACAAATTATAACTAAATACTTTGGAATAAACGTATGCTATTTTTTTCTTATTCTAGGTTACAAATCATGGCGCAAAATATTACACAAAGCAATATCAGTTCCAATGCTGAAATGCAAATGAAACCCAGAGTGACTGAGCTCAGTGTGAGGATGGCGGCTGTGCAGGTACTGGTTGGGATCTTCCTGTACGTGAACTGTCTCCTGATCTTTACCTTCTTCAGAAAAGAGGCTTTCCGGAGGGACACGCGCTATGTTTTGTTCGCCCATGTGCTGTTCGCAGACTCCTTCATGCTGGTGCTGACTGATTTAGCTCTGCTTCTCACCTACTTTTATATCTTGGTGCCTTCAGGAGCCTGTATTGTGCTGTGCATGATTATGGAAATTCTCACTTACTGCACCCCGCTGACCCTCACTGCCATGTGTTTGGAGCGCTATGTGGCCATCTGTATGCCTCTGAGACATGCGGACATTTCCACGACCAGAAGACGGCTAACTAGCATGCTCATCATATGGGCCCTCAGCTCTGTACCTCCCTGCATTGATCTCATTGTCCTCCTTGCGTCTGAACCCCCTCATTTTTACACTGAAAAGAACATATGCAGATATGAGATGATGTTGCGCAAGCAGTGGCAAAGCTATCTGAGATCCACGCTGTCCCAGTTCTACTTTCTAGTAATAGCTATTATAATTGTATTTACCTACATAAACATCATGGCTGCAGCTGCAGCAGCCTCAGGAAATAATAAGAGCTCCACAAAAAGAGCTCAGAACACAATCATTCTGCACACCTTTCAGCTCTTGCTCTGTTTGATGCAATTAGTTTGCCCTTTTATAGAGATGGCAGTCATGGAGATACACATTGAGGTCTTCTTAAACCTGTCATATTTTGATTTCCTTGCATTCATTTTAGCTCCTCGATGTCTAAGTCCACTTGTTTATGGTTTAAGGGATGAGAAATTCTTCCTCGTGTTAAAATACTATGCTGTCTGTGGATTAAATAAAAAGCAATCTCCACTCTTAGTGGTGATATAGCAGCTTGTAACAATAAAGACATCTACAATGTTAATATCCTCCCAAATTATTCATGAAAACAGGGAAAAACATGGTAACTCATCAAACCTACTGTAACAAGATATCCGGGATTAAAATAAAAAATGACAAAACGTTCATGAATAATAATGTGTGTTTGCATCTTGTATTAGAAATTACATTTGTTATAAACATTGTTATAATAACTTGTAGGAGTATTTATAAAAAGATCCTTTTTAGAGGGGCAAAAATGTTTTAAAATTAATTAAAACCATTCTCATATGTCTTATGTTAAAATATCTTTAGAGACAAAAATATTTCATGTGGAATACTGTACAACTATGACCAGGCACATATTATTTACATATTAGAGAATACAAT